TTCGATACATTAAATGAAATCAAGAATTTTCAGTGATATATTAGTTTTAGACTTTACTTTTACACTAATAAACTTATGGGTTGCGGCTGTCGGGAGTCTTTCAAACCCGATAATCATTGACGTGGAAAAAAATTCCGTCTTCTTCTCCGATTTCTTCTCTCTTTTCTTACGTTTATCGGTCCCAACACATGGCATTTATCCAAATTAGTTGTCGGACCTCACCACCACATACATATGAATGGCCAAAAAGTACCATTTTCGTGGTCGAAGAAGAACCTATCCTGCGCTTTTCGAACGACTGTACCGATGCTTTTGACGAGAGGCGAGGAAATGATTCTCGGAAAGGCAATAAGATTTCTTCCACAGACTGACCAATCGTTGGTTCCACTTTGATTTTTTTACCCAATCGTGGAGCTAAAGCGCATTGCATCTTACTTCGGCCTTGTAGATGCTGCTGACCCCCCTCAGTATCTTAATTTCTACCAACTCACCACCATATGGACCAAAAGGTTACATGGCCCGTGGATGGTGTCGTCGCTAGGGGTGAAAACTATAGGACATTGATCTTTCGAGCCGAATCGAATCGAATCGAATCGAACCGCACAAAGTTCTATATTGAAAAGTACGGTGATCTATTTGTATGAGCTTTGGCTGAAATTTTTTTATCTGTTTATTGTTCGGACTCTGATATATGACGAAAGAAAATCGATACATTGAATAAAACCAAAAACCTTTATTCATATATTAGTTTTACTTCACATTGTAGCTTGAAAATCACTTCTTGTTAGCTTATGGGTTGCGGCAATGGGGAGTCCTTTAAAGTCGATCATGGAGTTTACCATGTTTCGTTTGTAGACTCGTAGTATTCAAAGTCACACATATCTTAATAATCATAGCAATCGAGCAGCATGCAGGCCAAAAGTCAAATGAATGATTGAAACCGTCACATATTATTTGATTAATGTGAAAGTTATTAGGATTTTTAGGGTGAAGAGTCCTGAATTGGAGCTCTTAAATTGGATTTTCATGTCCTTTCATGCATTTAGAGGTTTCCTTTCTTCATTGGCAGATGTAAATTCTCATGGATCCTTTCATTCGCTCATAACTTGCTAATCGACGACTCATGATTTTTCAAATTCTCCCCAATGATCAGGTCGTATAGAACTAATGCTATCACCTTTTTTTTTCATTTTGAACTCGCTTTGCAAACTTAAATAATGAATGGAATGCTTCGTGTGTATGGACAAGGGATACTACCCAAGTAAGCCTAGTGTAATCATCCATAATCACCAAAATATTTCTTACCACCAAGGCTCTTACTTCTTCTCGATCCAAACATATCCGTGTGTAGAAGCTGCATAGCTCTTTTAGCAGGGACAACATTCTTTGACTTGAAAGGACTTTTGATTTGCTTACCCAAAGTACACGCCTCACATAACTCGGTCTTTTAAAATCCGATTTTCACCTATGCCAATGCATCTTCATCCATGCCTGACGTCTTTTCTGCTTTCGCAAAAATGGCAAGAGCTAGTCTGATTGATAAGTCCAAGTTGCTTTTGGCGGATTCCAACACTTGAAGACAGTTGCCAAACACTAATTCGAGTTCAATTTAAATTGATAAAGTTCCCAGTCTCCCACCAAGACCATAGAGGCTCATATATAGAGCTGTCTACTTTGTAAGTAACATGAGCTACTTTTGCAAAACGTTCCTTCCAGGTCATTCGCGAATTTTCGCTGTATGGTCTGTTCACCTTCTACGAATAGATGCTCTATACATTGTTCACTTTCTATGGATCCATCCAAGTTTTAAGAAACCCTGGTTCTGTAGCTTGTTCTCCTTCCATAAAAGTCCATCTAGACTTAGACACCCCATCCAATAGTTTATTCTCCTTCTGTAGAGCCAAAGCCTTTTTATGCTTTAGATGTCCTGTTGTTGACACTCTCTGCGTATGACGTGTGAATAGAAATAGTCCGTTCAATATATTCATATACATATATTAATAGCCTTTGATTATTTTGTCATCTTCAAAACATCCTAAGTGAATTCTCCAATTTTGCTCATGTCAACATGCATGCGCGCGGCCCTACTGGTTAAGGAATTGAGATGGTGGGGCCGGAGAGTACTAGGTTTGGGGTTCGGTTTCCGTGAGAACTGCACACATATGTACATAGAAAAGAGGAGCGATATAAAAAAAAAAAAACCTTCAATCTTATTGCCAGTGAAGTTGAAACTAGAGTCAGAAAATGTGATGAGACAATTCTTAGTTCACAAGAGAACATTCAAGAGTTTTTAGCCTTCTCTCAAGAGGATTCAGAAGCTGCAAAATTTTGGCCAATGATTCATTTTGTCGACCAGTATAATTTGAAGAAATCACTACCGAATCGCGCAAGCTTCGTTTAAGTTTACGAGTTTTACTCTTGTTGTGAATTAATTCACGATTATTTTCATTTCCACCTACGTCAGTAACTATTGGTGAAAGTAGGTGTAATCGCTATATAAGCATTGGCATCAAAGTTTGGGATTTTGCCAACATCAAATGACATCAATGAAGTCACGGTGACTAAACTCTAGGAAAAAATTACCTTATCAGTCCTAAAGCTATTGTACGAACGCTAATTCAATCCTAAATTTTTCAATTTTGCCAATTTAGCACTAAACCTTTGCGCGAAATTCAATTATAGTCCTTTCGATCAATTTTCTCAGAAAATCGCTGACGTGACGGTATAGTCATCGCCGGCCATCCTACGTCAGCGATTTCCGGCGAAAATTGACCGGAACGACTACATTGAGATTTCGCGCAAGTTTAGGACTGAATGAGCATCTGTACAATAAATTTTGGACCGACCAGATAAATTTCCCCGAAACTCGGAGGCAGCTAACTAGTTTCACCACCACGAATGAAATGATTCTCCCACAGGCAATGAGATTTCTTCCACAAACTTGGCCGATACCGACTCCTGCGATGCTTCAATAAGAGGGCAAGAAATGATATTCCCAAAGGCCACTAGATGTCTTCCGCGGGACTGACCAATCGCTGATTCCAATTTGATATTTACCCGTGCGCGGGAGCTAAAGCGCACTGCATCTACTTTGGCCCTAGCTAGATGATGACCCGTCAGTATCCATCGTCTACCCATGTGGATCAAAAAGTACCGCCCCACGTGGGCGGCGGGACCGCCGTGGGTTGGATGATATAGAAGAAACTGATCTTTCGAGCCAAATCGAATCGAGCCACACAAAATTATATATCGAAATGTATGATGATCTATCGGCTCGATCTTCAATTAAAAACCTTTATCCGGCTATCGTTTAGATTTCGGTCTTTCACAAAAGAAAATCGACACATTTGAACGAAACCCAAAAAACCTTTATTCATATATTCCATCATTATCGACATGTATGTTTAGTCTTAGGGAAAGTCCATGATGGAGTTTGGCATGTTTGTTTCCTAGAGTCGTAGCGTCGAAAGTCGAACTTATCTTTCACGTCTGAGCCAAAATCCAAATGATTGATTGGAATATGAAATGGGATAGAGGTAATTCTTCTTGCTTGCTTGATATCGGAGTTACCTAATCATAAAATTTATTAGAATATTTAAAAAATAAATCAATATGAAGATCAGTTTATTAGAATTTTTAGGGTGAATAGTCCTGGGATCAGAGCTCTTAATTTCGAATTCCACGTTCTTTCGTAATTTTATATGTCTCCTTTATTTGCACACAATGCAAAAATTCGCATGGGGTTATTTCATTCACTCATCCCGCTTCACTCACTCCAAACTTTTCAAATTTTAAACCATTAATTCTGTGTGGTATCAGTTCGGTTCGATTTGGATTGTGATACCATTACTCTAGTTTGCATTTCTATAGAGATCTCACTTGGGGGTGTGCAACCGGGGCCGGATTTACCCGGAAACCAGACCGGCCCACCCAAAAAATAGGTCCGGGAATCAGTTCCATTTTTTGGGAACTAGTTAAAACCGGTCCGGTTTCCGGTTCTCGGTTCCAAATGAAAACCCACCCGGGAACCGGACCGGTTTTAGAACTGGTTTTATATGGAGGTGATCTTGCAATTTTATATAACCAGAATTCAAAGCATTATATCAGGAAGGATGATGAAGGTAATCATTATTTAAGGATAGTCTAATTCAAGAGCTTGTAAGCATTATAGGGAGCAATTTCATTTTTCTTAAAATTTTTATTCTGTAACGAAGAAACTACATATCTAACAGGAACCTATGTTGTTTTATCACGTCTATTAAATTATTGGGACTTAGATAATCTACTTTTGTATGAATACTTAAGATTGTTTGCACAATCAAACTTATAACCTTTTATTTGAGTTATAAGTTTTCCGATTTGCTACATGGAAAAAATGAAACCAGAAAAAGAAACAAAAAAAAAAAAAGGTTCTCGGGTAGACTCTGGAATCGGATCGAAAAAAACAAGGTAGGTTCCAAAATAGAATCCAGGGCAAACAAAGTAGGTTCCAGATTCCAAAAAACTAGGAACCGATTATAACAGGGTCGATTTCAGGTTCCAGGTCAGGAACCGACCCACCCCTGGAATCGATCACCCCTAATCACACTCTCTTCATTGACCATCATTGGCCATAGAATATCAATACTCATCGAGATCACATCGTCAGTGCATCCCAACCTTTGATCTCGGCGAGTCTCCCGCGACATCCACATGACCGCATGTCGTGTCTACTTGATGACGGGTATGCACGTCGATAAGTGGGTCGTCACGGCACTCGCCCGACACGCGAAATACCTTCCTCCGCGAGTGCCGGGTCCTCGGATCAGATACTCCTGCTCTCTCCCATTGATGATGATCAAGCAAGCACCAACCACCAGATCCAAATCCAACGGCCACGACCGCGACCACTCAGAGGGGCCCCATGAGCCGCACCCACACCCGAAACCGCTCCCAGATAATCTTATCACGAAATTGCCACATGTGGTGCTTGTTATATCTTATGTCCACACACGAGAGTCTCCCCAACATCTCTCTCCCTTTCTCACTTCACCAATTCACGCTCACGTTCACATTGCAAAAAACAAAGGAACGAACCCCAAAAAACAGCCGGAACCGGAACGTAGCCGGCGACGTTCGATCCGAATCCGAAACCGAGGAGTCGGGGAGCCATGGGGATCGTGGAGGAGGCGCACAACGTGAAGGTCCTGGGGTCGGGGGAGCGGACGATCGTGCTGGCGCACGGGTTCGGGACGGACCAGTCGGTGTGGAAGCACCTGGTGCCGCACCTGGTGGACTCGTACCGGGTGGTGGTCTACGACAACATGGGGGCGGGCACCACCAACCCGGACTACTTCGACTTCGAGCGGTACACCACCCTGGAGGGCTACGCCTACGACCTCCTCGCCATCCTGGAGGAGCTCCTCATCGACACCTGCGTCTTCGTCGGCCACTCCGTCTCCGCCATGGTCGGCGCCATCGCCTCCATCAGCCGCCCCGACCTCTTCACCAAGATCGTCATGCTCTCCGGCTCCCCCAGGTGAATTAATTCGAAATTCTATCTATGTAAAGTGGACCTTCTCATTATTTTAGAAAAATAAATGAATAGATGGTAGATCTAGGTTTCTCGAGGCATCGAAACAAAGGAATTTTTTTTGCCGAGAATAGTGATTAGTTCTCCATTGTTTAACATGAAATTTGATGGGAATCGATCCGCGACCCGTTACTGCGGGGAAATGTTTCATCACTTTCCAAAAATAGAAGCCGGTGAAATGTGGAAAACATGCAATGCAATCAATTATGAAATAAGCGAAACAAGTTATAGAACTTCATTGGAACCGTGGTGATGTTTTTAACTATTTTTCTTGAATATTTTCGGGTTATATTTTTTTTGACTAAATGAAGGATCTATCCAAATTAAGTGCCCATATAATTATTGTAGTTTTTCGAAATTTAGTAAGAAAGAGGAAAAGAAAATTTCTTCCGTTTAAAGGCAAACAAACAAAACTTAGGGTCCCTTACCAAAAAAAAAAAAAACATAACTTAGGGTTTTAAGGATCGTGGGAAAGAAAATGATGACCTTTCGTGTTTTCATTAGAAGTCTTGTACCAAACATTCAACATTTCATATCTTCCCTCATTTATTGCGCCACAACTAAGTGCGGCTGAGCCTTTGCCACGACGAAGCTCTCTCTTCCAGGACAACTTTTATTTATTTATTTATTCGAACTTAATTTTACAAGAAATAACGATGATATCTTGATTTACCATTAAAAAATCTTACTAATTAGTGTTAAAAGTACCTAGTAATTCTCGATTATGACAAGCACGGCTTGATGAATGTAACTTATGTGATCGATTTTTAGGTACGTGAATGACCCGGAGTACTTTGGAGGGTTCGAGCAGGAGGACCTGGACCAGCTCTTCGAGGCGATGCGCGAGAACTACAAGGCGTGGTGCTCCGGCTTCGCGCCCCTGGCTGTCGGCGGCGACATGGACTCGGTGGCGGTCCAGGAGTTCAGCCGCACGCTCTTCAACATGAGGCCCGACATCGCCCTCAGTGTCGCCCAGACCATCTTCAACAGCGACATGCGCTCCATCCTCGGCCTCGTCACCGTCCCGTGCCACATCGTCCAGAGCATGAAGGACCTCGCTGTCCCCGTCGTCGTCTCTGAGTACCTGCACCAGCACCTCGGCGGCGACTCCATAGTGGAGGTCATGCAATCCGACGGCCACCTGCCCCAGCTCAGCTCCCCCGACACCGTCATCCCCGTCGTCCTCCGCCACATCCACTACGACATTGCTACCTAACAGTGCATAAAGTCCCTCTATCTCACAACGGTGACTAGTTCTATGTAGGGTATAGGAGAACGACGCGTGTCACTGTTCGATAAGCATGTCCAAACGTACATTCTAGAGATAAGTGTCCAGATCCTATATGCACGACACAAGTCGGGACATGTTAAGGGGATGGAGGATCCGCCTTCCTCGATTATCGGGGATGCTTTTAGCAGGTTATTATCTATCCTTAGTTTCATTAGCTTTGGTCTTCGTTGTGCAAGTGTAAATTGCAGTGTTGCCCCCGTGATTCTATGTCATGTGGACTAGAATAAGAGCTGTAGTTAAGTTTCGTTTGTGTGACTCCCGTTTTGTCCATCTCTCTAGATCACCAATTTAACAAAAATCAAAAGTGCAAATACCGCCAAAAATTATAAATTATATCTACGATAATACATTTATCCTAAATCTTTTTTCATGACACCATAAGTCACAAATTCGTAGTACCGTGATACAAAGTTCTATCAATAAGAATTATTAAAATTCTTCCAACAGGAATGTCAAGAAGCAAACGGTATTGACATTACATGTGGCTTAAGTAAAATAAAATTGACATTATTTTGGTTTAAAAATTATTTAACGGAATCTTAATAGAAAGAAATGAGTTTGTGTTGTTTTTATATTACCAGAAAAAGTCCCAGTGGGCAATTTGAAGTTTTTTCCCTTTTTGTGGCGTTTCCCAAAAAGAAAGGAGAAAGTGTCGATTGGGGTTGAACGGGGAGATGGAATCGGACGGGGGGCGGGGGTTCGTTGGGCGGTGGAGGAATGGACGGCGACTGGTGGCGATCGGGATGTGACGGGAGATGTTACGTGTCGGCCGTGGAATGGTCTGTCCCGGTTACAGAAAAGCATTAATGAAGGAATCGAATAGAATAGAATAGCCTTTCTTCCACCTTCCATTTTATTTTTTCGCCTTCTGCTTTCTTCTGCTATCTCGCTTTATTCTAATGTCTCTTCTTTTGTTTTATAGATGATCTCTTTGCTCATCTGTAGGGCACTTGATGTTCAGTTTCAATTTTCAAGTGTTCAGTTTCAATTTTCAAAGGAGCAGAAAAAAAAATATTGTTTTTGTATGTGTGTCCTCACGACAAAGTGTAATGGGGAATCCCATAATTTTTCAAATATAAACTTTGCACTTAAAAAACTGAAAGTGACATAATTTGATAATTATTTCAGTGAATCATATTATAATTCAATTATTGCTTCGTAGTAATTTAAAAAAAATCGTTTTCTTAGCGACCCTTTTGACAGAGGTTGGACCTCAACCCACGTGCTAGGGATGGGAAATGGAAGAAGAAAGGAAGTTCTCTAAGTTCTCTTCCCCATATGAGTCTAATTAACCCATTAAGGCAAGGCAAGGCAACTCTTTTTTAAAATCTAATTAGCACGGGTGGTGGAACCTTAATTAGGCTGGACTTGCATGATACAAGTTGATTTGAGCTAAACAGAAATAATTCTACGTCTAAAAGTTTAATTGAAAACATAGATCATTTGCAACGGCGAGGAGACCTATCTTCAAGAACTTTGCAACCTAGACATGTCATGATGTTGGGGTTGCGCGACCCCGGCGTGATGTTAGGGTCGCACGACACCATGCGACACGGGTGATCGCGAGATCTAGCTAGCGTCAAGATGATTGCGGCGAAGATCTTGCTCGTTGCTCATGCCACACCTTGCTCGTCGGGGTTACACGGCTTGTTTGCTAGGGTTACTGTACTTAGTTTGCAGCCGTAAGTTTGGGCTATCCGCAAGGACCAACTCTACGAACCCAAGAATCGGGTTTCGAGGGGGCGAATCGATAGGAACCTCGAGCTCGTCGACGGAGTCATACAGGAAAATGACCCACCGGGACATACAAGGCTCGTATTGAAGTCTACACCTAAACATCTTCTGCTTAAAGAAACCCAAATGAAAGAAATAAAAGCAAGTACCGCACACATGACAACCTGGGGATAATACAGTCAACACGTGAAGGTCGAAAGACATGGGATCCTGTCCCTTGGACAGTCTCAAGAGTCAAGAACACACCATTGAGAGGAACCGGCGTTTGACTCTCTGGTTTTTTCTTCCTGGTAAAGAGAAGATGTTCATTGATGAAACGAGAAACTACGTAGATAAACGAGGAAGACGACTGACGTCTGACGTTTGTCGTTTCTTCCTGCTGCCGTATCCGCACGGCAGTTAGCCTTCCTGAACACGTTGTCCGCCTTGGTCTGCGCTCAGAAACAAGTGGTTTGGGAAGATAGTTATCATCACCGATATGAAAAATTTTCGAAATGTATTTCGTCTCTCTTATAAAAAATAATTGAGGATGCGAAGCGTACAGATATCGACACGTTAAAATAATGAATATATCCATAAAACTCACCTCATCGGATAGGGTTAACAGCATATATATCATTATGTATACAAGTTCACAATGTTAATGAATTCGATATTTGAAAATATGGCATTTTCACTTTTTGTTATATGAAGGGTTATTAACTTTGATCCTCTACATAAATATATTATCATAATCTCCTTTAAATATTGCGTGTAAGTGCTCTCCTTAGGATGGTATATTGTTAGAATAGCCTTCTCCTTGTTACAAGTAAATATCCAAGTACTTTCTCCACAAAAGTAACCACCACCTAGATGTCACCTTAGCAAAAATAAATTATTTACTTAATTGTTAAGTTTGAATATTGACTTTATGTTTCTTTCTCCCGTTAAATCCACAATTTCATATTGTTGGGTAAAAATCAATCGGCATTAGAAAAATTTCTTGCCTCTTATGACGCATCATTGCCTTGTACATACGAATACATATAAAGAGAATGCATCTATAGTCATCCATCAATCATCTGTCGCTTTGATACCTATTGCTCTTTCGTTTTTTGTTTTTAGTATTCCTTTTCAACCTTTTTTTTTCCCGACCATCTTTGAGATCCAAGGCTATCAATAAGAAGTCATTATCGAGACGTTCGTTCTATATGTGTATGCAACTTTCTTACATGACGTTCCACATATCTTGCAGAAATTATAATTTGTTTGAGAGGACAAAGAACAAAAAAATTACTAATTTTTCGCATTATAATATATATGTATAAATTGTCAAAGAAATTTTCAAATAATTTCTATGATTATTTCTCGAGCCTATTGACGTATAGTCCTCTTTCAAGTCTTTGTCGAAGCATGAAGTTGGGTGGTGCGACGGAATCCATCCATATCTACTTCTTTTAACACCTACTCCTCCATGTCCCCGTCTTGTTTCTTGCAATTTGGAGCAACGTCTAGTCCTCGTTAAGTCTTTTTCGAAGAGTTAATGTCGACACGTGATCCGCTGCACTGTCAAGGAACACGAACCAAAAAGGACCCATTTGGAGATAATTCATCGAGCCTGTCTTAATTTGTTGGATATCAATTCAACCCTAAAAAACTTGTCAATTTTGGAAATATAGTTCTAAACTTTTGCTTGAAATGCCAAACGTAGTAATTTCGGCTAATTACCGTCGGAAATTTGCCGACATGACGGCGTACAGTCATTGACGATCGTCATGCATGGCGCATTGGCGTGGACAGCTTTACTCTGAGCTTCGTCCTGCGTGGATTGCTGCATTAGCGATTTTCGATGGCAATTAGCCGAAAGAATTACATTAGAATTTTGCACAAAGGTTTGAAAAGTTTAGGACTAAATTAGCATGCGTACAATAAATTTAAGACTGATTTGGTAAGGTAAACCCCGGTCAAAATTTTCTGGCTTGGCGCATGATCGTGTCTGCTACTAGTGTCCATGAATTGTTCCTTTCCATAGATTGCAAATGGTCCTGAAATTGCACGAATTTTTTTTCCAATCTAGTTCTTGATAAACAAAAAACATATAGGAAAGCTCAGAGAATGACGTGGGCTTGCATGATCACATTTCAAAGCTGAAACAGAGATTTTAACAATTTCGACATGCAAACATGGTTTCCGATCATTACCCAAAAAAAAAAACATGGTTTCCTACCATCTCCAAGACATTAGGATCTTACAAAAAAAACGTGCAAAATGGAGATTCTAACCCTTCTAATAGATCTAGATTCGTGCATTATCGGCGCTTTACATTGCACCCATGCTAACATATTATCCTATGATCTTTCTATACAAAGGTTTTTAGACATAGTTACTTTACAAGTTTAGAGACGAAAGATATCCATCCGCACTCAACCCCACGAGGTTTCCCTTAGCCCAAATTCGACCTGGCTCTCCTCCCTGTTGGTGGCCACGAACTAGGTTATCTTGGAGCTCCTTGAACCCGGTCTTCACGCTACCTCCTTCTATTCCTTAGCTGGACCGTTGCATCCCCTTAGTTGCTTACCTTGAAGAAAGCTTGAAACGGGAGCGAAAGGGACTGCAATGACAGTAGAGTGATCTGAGACAGCTTTTCACTCTAGAGTGAGCTCCAACAAGTGAAATGAGTGAGGGGAGAGGGAGTGTGCTGTGACTGTGAGCCCCAGCTTATGCAGAGGGAAAGTGAATTATATGAAGGTTTTTGCTTGTTCAAGTCACGTAAGGTCTGCTTGGAGGCCACATGTTCGAGTGAATCCCAGGCCTGTTGACTTGGGAAATGACCAAACATGATGAGAGAGAGCTTGAGTGGCGGGTGCATATGGTGAGCTTAGGGGATTTGCATAGTTGTGCGAAGAATTTTTAATGATAATGTCAGAGATTTACAGAGATTATGGCAGCGGATTTGCTGGTAATCATTGTGCAATCTCTTAGCTTTGCAAGCGAAAGGGTTTGACCAATGAATCTATGCAATTGCAGAGGTTGAGTGTTTGTATGTTGTGGGCAAATCAAGCGGAGAGGGAGAGATTGTTGGCTAGCTCAGACCTTGCTTAGCTTGTCCAAGCTCCAAAACACAATCATGCACTAATTCTGCTTCTAAAATTTAATTAGGTAAGTTTGGAAATTTAGCACGAATTTATTTGATTTTAGACAGGCATCAAGAAAGTAATGAATGTGTTTGAACATTGCGGGATTATATTTGATTCCCTCGAATTCTATACTAATCTAGTCGAAAGCAAAAAATTAGAAAGTCGTATAGCATTAGAGGCTCAACGGCGGCAGAGGCTCAACGGCGGGTCTAATGATTTATGGTGTTACGACCCCAGTGGCCCTTTCCGGTGTCATTTCTCACAGTTGGCATCGTCATAAAGATTTCTACATTTCCTGATTTCTATGAAATTCCGGAAAAATAATTGGTATTTCTCTGATTTCCCAAAGTTATGAATTCGATAGAAAATAGAATTTGGCAAAGTCTGCTTATTTTCAATGGTAAA